CTAAATATATAAATACATATATTAATAAAATAGGTTATCCGCAAAATAGACTAATTAATATATATGTTAAAAATGTTTTCAAACTAAACCTCAATCGAAACTTCCACAACATTGCTTGACAATTTTTTCTCCTATTATTCCGATTATTTCATATTATTTCATTAATTTTAGAAATTAAAAATTTATCAGCAAAGATTTTTAATTTGTTAGTGTTTTTAAAGTTTTCGGGCAAGCAGAGTTAAAAATTAACCCGGCTCGTGATATTTTAATAAATTATTAGTAAATTATTAGTATGATATATTTAAATTAATTAATAAATTAATATGATAAATAAATTAATATGATAATAAGTTAATTTTATTTATCGAGTTTAAAAAATCGATGAAGTATTTATGTATTTTAATGTGGATCATTGAAAGTGAAATTTAAAGATTTAGACATACCAAAACTCTAACTCCATTGAAGATGTAGTGACGATAATATTCATGATATCAAGGTTGAAGACTGCCGCACTAAAAAAACTCAAAGATTTGAATCGAAAGGGCGGTAGTGGTCGATCCGTAACGAAACTATAGTAACAAAGAAAGATAACATTAACAAATAATAACAAAGACAAGTGGTAGAACAAAGAACAGATAGCATGTTTTGGTTAATCTTAACCAGAAAGAGTTGAGTTGATGAATGACGATAATGATTTCTTCCTTAAAAAAACATAAAAAATGTAAAAACTAGACACTGTTTAATGATAATTCAGTTGCTCCAGTTTCTAAGAATATCCATAAGATCATGCCCACTTGTTGATTATATACATGGGACATGCTAAAAACGATTCATAGGCCTAACCAAATCGGTGTTGCGGCTTTGCATGAGCCATGTCATGCACCTGTATCATCGGACAGAGGGCCCAAACATTCAACAGAAAATTAGTTGGGCTTAAACGAGACGACCAATGTAGTCCACCCTGGAAACTGAATATTAAGGACTAAAAACAGTATAAGACACAGGTTGAGCCCGTGGCAACCCGAGGTTGTCTTATTAATTTATTCATGTTCCAACAAAATGGGCATCTCAAGTTCCGGTTGGGGCACGTTCCCCACGTGTTATGGTGCCGCCCCATGGAATTCCTCAGGTAAACAATAAACAATTACATATACATAACCAAATGATAAATTGCACTAAGCACGCTTCGTGTGAAGGATAAGACGTCAATAACAAGATCCCACCCACAGAACGGGGAAAAAGAACTGAATGACTGATGTCAATCCTTGCATCAGATTTGGTGGTGAACTACTGGAGGAAAATGGAAATGTTACGTGAATCTTTATTACAACATGTCGTACAAAATCAAAGAGTGTTTGAGGTTTGATTGATATATAAATTTTCAGATTAAGAATGTGCTTAAGAACAGAAAAAGTTGCACAATTCATGCAGTTGTAAAAGAGCTGGTTTAAGCATTGGATCTTTTGATTTTTTATTTGGTTTTTTTATCTTTTTCCCCATCAAGTGGAGGCTCATAGAATTGGGTTTTTATGCAATGCTACCATGAGTCAGAGTAAGGGAAAAGTATATACTAATTTTGTTCTTTCTACTAATAGATAAGTAACTCTACTTATTTAATCCTGTACTCAATAATAAATATAAGATTCATAATGCTCAAAAAGGCTACTTGATTCCATTCACACCCAAAAAAAATATTTTTTAAGCAAACTTGTCTGTCAGCTCAGAATGTGAATGCTTGTGCCAGAAGATAGATGCCCTTGGAAGTTAACAGGAAAAAAAACTATGGAAAGCTGCTGGATTCCGATGTCATTACTCATTAGACTCATTTGAGACGACTAACCATTAATATAAAGCTTTGATCATTAGTTTTTGTAATAACCGTAAAAAAAAAAATACTATTTTAAATATTTTTATAAGTGAAAGGATTCTTTAATAAAAATAAAAAATATAAAAGACCTATTGATAAATAATTTAAATTTTTTAATAGGATTAATTTATTCAATTTTTAATAAACGATTATCAAAAGAAAAATATAAGTTTATTTTTCTTTTTTTTCTTATAGAGAAAAGATAAATCGAAAGATTTTAAGTGAATAGTAACAGTAAAATCTATAAAGTGAATTGTATGTCAGAAGTGAGTAAATAATTTTTTTTAATTTTTGAGTATTGATCGTTAAGTTTTGAGATGTAATTTATAATCGAGAAATCTTAAAATTTTAGGGTTTCATTATCCCTCTCCAAGATTAGTTTAGGCAAATAAGTTAGACTTTAATTAGGGGTCTAATTAAGTGTTGAGAAAATTGGTAATATAATTTTATTATTGTAAAAATAGAAAAAAGAAATTTGATGGGAATAGAAAAAAAAATTTTGTTTTGTATGAACCTGATATGAACTTTGGTGGCTATAGTGATAGATTAAGGTTATATTTTGTATTAAAAGATTAAATACTGCAATGATTATTTTATATCATTGAAAAGCTTGTTGAATTTACTTTCTAATGAAATAAATAGAAGTTAATTCTGAATTTTTTATGAAGAGTAGTTTAATGTTTACTTAAGAATATGCAGGCTGCCTAATAGCAGCAGTAGGGAGGAATTACGAAATTCTTCTTAATTTTTGTACAAAGATTTACAGATTAAGCCATATATGTTTGGAAAGCTTATTGAGTTTACTTTCTAATGAAATAAGCGAAATTGAATTTGGAGTTTCTCATGAATAAATATATAATTTTTATTAGAAGATATATAGGCTATCTGACAGCAGCATTTGATGTGAATTTCAAAAATTATTATAATTAATCCACAATGAATCACGAGATGGGCCATATATTGTTAGAAAGTTTATCGAGTGTAGTTTCTAAAGCATTAAAAAGATTTTAATTCCGAGTTGGATATCTTGAAATATGGTCATTTTAGTAAAAGGAATCATAAGATAGGCCATATATGGTTAGAAAGCTTATCGAGTCTAGTTTTTAACGCATTAAAAAGATTTTAATTCTGAGTTAGATATCTTGAGATATGGTCATTTTAGTAAAAATAGTGCAAGCTACTAGAATTAGTTACTCGAGTTATTTTTTGTTTAACTTAATTGTTTTGGTATAAGTGGTCTCAAATAGGTTAATTAATTGATGTTATGTTAAAATTATCTTGAATAAGCCATTAATTATTTAAGAAGAAAAATTAGGTGATGGAATCGGAAGAAGTAAGTAGAATCTCATATAATTTGCTTATTTTTTAATATATGTATATATGTTTGTTTCTGAATGAATTAATGTTTTATTTCATTATTTTCGATGTATGAAAACAAGATCAAGCATATGATTATTTTGCGTTTCTCTACAAATGATGGATCATGCTTATGAATGAAATAAGAAAATAATTTATGTTTAAAGAACGATTTTATGATAGCTACATTTTTACATCCCTGAGAAGTGAGATCATCGACACCAAAACTAGTTCTATGGACGTGATTAACGGATAATAGTAATTAACATAGACATGATCATACGATCCTACTAACGGGTTATAGTAGTTAGCGTAAGGTCCTAGCTAGCGGGTTATAATAGTTAGCAATGATCATGAAGATAAAATTATCGATACAATTAATGTCACGGGTTATAGCAATGACCGTAGCTAATGATAAATAAATTATAATGATGATTTGTGATGAATGATTTTTATAAACTGATCTATGATTTGGTAACATGTTTTGATAGTACTTTATGATCTATAAATGCTTGATAGAATGTTGATTTTTGAACTATTTTTGACATTATGAGTTGATAAATGTTTTAAAAATGATCTATATAATACATATGAAAATGATGTTTGATCCAATAATATGTGTGAGCTTTTACTTACTAAGTTGTGATTTGCTCATTCCCTATTTTTTTTCTTTTATAGATGATATAAATAATAAGTATGATTAGTCTTGAGAGGAGCTAGAAGAATCAAACATTAGAGAACTACTTAAAAATTAGGATTTTATAAAATATTATTATTTTTAATTGTAATACTCAGACTTTGAACCTTTGAAACTTGTTATTTAATTATTTTACTTATTGAAAACCTTATTTTAATTGATACTTTTTCAATGATTATGAATTAGGCTTCGTATTACTTTAAGATTTTACTTCAAAGTAATATGATCATGTTATAATTCAATCTCGAAACGTTACAATTTTCACCTCGTAGATAGCAGTTCCAAAGCAGAAGTTTTCAAGCTTAACTCACTAATTGATTGACCAAACTGATATATGTTCTCAGAATTTTCATGTCTGACACCTTTGCTTTATCGATGTCTTTAGTTCAGTAGCCTGAATCCCTGAACTCATTATTTTTCATCAGATACTCTCCCATTTCTTTGAAGTTATAGTGATGCCAATATATATATATTGATATTTGAAAATTTTATTGGGTGAGAAAAGGTTTTTTCATTTCAAAGTCAAGATAGATTGTAAACCTCAAAGATGATTTACATTGTTTTTATAAATTTTTGACAATAAAAATCGAATCTAAATCTTGTAAGCGAAGTATACGAATTCAACCAACCCCAATATTGTGATGCCAATAATTTATTACCATATGAAGTCAATCCAATTAAGAGGTAAGGTGGATTAAAATTTTGGAGAAATTAAAACCTTAAATTCAGCTTGATTGTTCTTCATTTTTTTTTAACCCAAAACCCATCCTAGAGGACTTATAACCGCCAAGACGAAGTCAACATCAATGATAACAACTCAAGTAAAGTAAAATGTGATGTTGTTTAATAGAATTGAATATATATTATATCTGGATTAATTCTAAGGCCATTGTTGATGTTGCAGCTGGCTATGTTAATTTTCTCAAAAATTAACATAAATGAAATATCGTCACTTGCTGGGTCAGATTCTCAATTCGATTCCTTTCACACCAAGAAATGACGTCAAGCACGACCAGATTCTAATTTATAAGTTATTGCAGCTACACCTCTCACAAATCAGCTGGCAGTGCATACTAACCAATGGATGCATCGAGAAATTACCCTTTGGAGCTCCCTAACAACATTGAGCTACATTACTTCATTGATGACCCTAACTTTGATCAGTTCATCGATCTAATTCCTGGAGAAAACGAAGATGTCGTCGCCGGTCTTGATTATGATCTTGTCAATGGTTGTTTTGTTGATAAGCAGATTAGTTCAACACCTGATGGGGATGCTTTTGGCTTTGATGCTACAAGCGTCATGGTACCGGATGCTAGCTATATTTTCAACAATGCACTGTCAAGTTTTGATGGAGAAATAATGAAGGATGCAGAGGAAGATAATGATGGTGAGGAGAACTCTTCCGGGACAACAACCACAACCAAAACCACTACCACAACAACAACAGCAACAGCAACAAAGAAAGCAAAGGTTGATCGGTCAAGAACTTTGATTTCAGAGCGGAGGAGAAGGGGTCGGATGAAGGAGAAGCTCTACGCATTGCGTTCCCTGGTTCCTAACATAACTAAGGTATGTCTTATGTCCGTATCAGTAGTTTGTTATTAGATATTTCTTGACCCTGTTTAGCATCAAGAACATTTCCTATGCCGGCAGATGGATAAGGCTTCCATAATTGGAGATGCTGTATTGTATGTGCAAGACTTGCAAATTCAGGCTAAGAAGTTAAAAGCTGAGATTGCTGGTCTTGAAGCGTCATTGGCAGGGTCTGAAAGGTACCTAGAACCAATCGATAACCCTGTGAAAATTCGAGTTGCAAGAAACAGCCACCCCATTTGCAAGAAGATATTACAGGTAAAGATAAATAACAATCCCTTGTTTCTCATAATCCTGACACTATAGGCCTTTTCTTCAAAATGTAAATTGAACATCGTCAAGTTATTATAGTTGTTCATGTGGCTTTGCAGTTGAATATGTTTCAAGTGGAAGAAAGAGGGTTTTACATTAGATTGGTGTGCAACAAAGGTGAAGGGGTTGCAGTATCACTTTACAAGGCCCTTGAGTCCCTAACCAACTTCAAAGCTCAAAATTCCAATCTGGCCACTGTTTCCGACAGATTTTCATTTACTTTTACTCTAAATGTAAGTGATATTTTTCCCATTTTCATCCTCATTCTGTTTCTTTTGCAGGCTATTCAACTTACTTCCTTTCGCTTTTTTATTTTGCAACTGATAATCTATCATTGCTCAAACAGGTCAGAGACTGTGAGCAGTCCATGAACTTGCCAAACCTGAAGTTATGGGTGACTGGAGCTCTTCTGAACCAAGGATTTGAGTTCATAACACCTTTGTCTTCCTAGTCTGTTTCTTTTAAACTTGTTAACGATGCCTGTCGATCATCAATGAATTTAGTTGCATTAAGTGCTGGCCTGTTATGAACAGCTTTTTTTCTTTTCTGACAAGATCCTACTTGAAAGACTGCAATTTGTTCTAATTAGTGCCTCAATGTCTTGTTGCCGCCAACTGAACTAATAGTTTTAGACTAGTATTTTTTAATGGATAATAATCTGCATAGTGTTACTTATATGGTTTGTTGCCTGTTATTGTGATCTAATCTCAACGACTTGTTTGAAATCATGTTGCATTATTTGGTCAGCTTCCGAGACTCTACAGTATTGGTGACATACAAGAAATAGACTTTGTCAATGGGATCCTTGATTTAGATTAAAAAAAAGAGTGACCAATAATTTGCAGCTTGAAAAAAAAAAAGAAAAAAGAAGAAATTGGAAACCAGGAACTGTTCAAGCAACTGAATCTGTAATCATAAAATACATAAACCTGTACACATTGCACATCTGTGCCTTATTAAACTATCCCATGGATGAACTGAGAAAAAATTGCACAACCCATTGTTGATTTCATGCTTTTTTTTTTCTTTTGGGTACTTGAGGTTGCCCGCAGATTGATTCTGATCACTAAAATTAAGAGTTTAATACTCTACCATTAGATCACCGTTATTTGTGGATTTCATGCTTCAAATTCTCCACGATTCTGCTATCTGCCCTGAAATCACATATACTCTGAACTAGTTTGGTTGTTGGCAACAGCTTAACAGAGTAGACAATGAACAAATCAGGTGTTAAATATGGCCTGTAAAAAAGGGGCAAGAATTCGAAAAAAATAACGGAGATGTTGAAAATATGGCCCTGGACTAGAAACATCCTTCATACTTCTTCCATTCTATAGAAAATGGTCCATTTTTCGGATCTGTTGAAGTTGAACACGAAGTCATAAGGAACCTAAATTTTAGCGTCCTGGAACGATCTCCTTGCTCTATATATAGGGATCCTGGTGGACCGTGGCATTCTAGACTGTCAGATCACGAGGACATCATTAAAGTCATCCTATTGCATCTTCTTAGGCGGCAAAGATAATCGGGAGGCTTTGACATTAGCCGAACGCATGGCTAAAGACCCTAGAGTGAACCTAACCATGATCCATCTCGTTGCTGAAGACAACGGAAATGTCACAGACTGGGACATGATGCTTGATGGTGAGGAATCATTTCGGAATAAGATGCCCTTGAATGATTCCTTGGTTTTTGCTCTCATTATGACCTTGTAAGATTGAACCTATATTGCATCTTTTTATTAGTCACCTATGGTCAATCTCAATCTGTTCTTCATTGCATTGGCCTTCTTTCACATCCAATCCAACCTCTTACATGGTCATCCCCTTGGCCTTCCTTCACTGGTCTTCTTTCACTATTTTTACAAATTTAAGGGAAAAAACAAGAACGCAAAAAATGCAATGTATTGATTAAAATACATGGGCAAACTAATAGAATTGCAGTGGGGACAAAATTAAATTTTTGTTAAAACTCGTGGCAGTTATATAATAGTGCCAAAAAGGTTTTGTAATATTTCAGCGCCCCCCCCCCCCCCCCCGCTCCCGTTTTCTAATATTTGCAAATTTTTGTTTTCTGAATTCCTCTATTTACACATATTTTCGGTGGAATAAGTGAACAGAGGTTAATACATGCTTCTATTTGTTAATTTCGGGCAAGTAACATGTCTACAACCATGAAACTCTTTACCGTAATATTATCTAAGCAAGATTTAAGCTTCAAGTTCGTGCAAATTTAGGATACGAGGATGGCCTCTTTCGTATCGTAAATCAACTTAACTATCACGATCCACATCAACTTGTGAAATATTATCTATTTCACTCCCTTGACCTCATAAGTTAAAAGGTGGTATGAATTTTTATATCCCATATTCAACTTTAGTATACATAGCTTACACAGCTAATGTGGGATTTATGATTCATTCCTAGGACCGCAACATCTTCCCCCACTCCAACGAAAGTCCATCGTCCTCAATGGTACATCGTTGGTATCCCAGCCGTTCTCGGTGGTACATCGTTAGTACCCCAGAGCTGGCTCTGAAGGTGCTGTGAATCTTTATATTACATTATCAACTTTAGTACCCAACTAATGTGGGATTCATGGCTCCTCCCCAAGATCGTGACATCCTCTCCACTCTAACGAAGGCTCACAATCTTCAGTGATACATTGCAAGTACCCCAAGAGCTGACTCTGATACTATTTATCATGGGCCGAAACTTAAGCTCCAGGCTCGTGCGGCTTTAAGATACGGGATAGCCTTTTCCGTGTCTCAGATCAACCTAACTATTATGGTTTATACCAACTTATAAGGTACTATTATAGTTTATACCAACTTATTAGGTATTATCCGTTTCGGCCCCCTTAATCTCACGATTTTGTCTCGTAAAAGGTGTCTCACAAGTTAAAGGTAATGTAAACTCTTATATCCCATGATCAACTCTAGTACACAGTCGATGTAAAATTCATGACTCCTCCCTAAAACCACGACACATGCATGAGATTTTGAAGTTGTTCCACCGTCCTTTCTGGAGTTCTACAAAAATCAACACAGCATGCTTGAAGCCAAGACCAATTGAACCACAAGCTGCAATAACACTACTTCAAAAAGAGTTGAATCACTTAACTGTAGTTAACTTATGTAGCATGTGTCATAAACAAATGAGTAACACATGGTACTGAAACAAGTTGCATCACTTTTCATAATAATTGGAATGATATTGAAGAACAGAAACAATATCAATACCTTTTCTAGCATTTTAGTTCACGCTATGCACAAAAAAGTAATAGGGGAAGATGGCATAAGCTGCAAACAATTCCTAGTATTTATCTTTATCCATCAACATGTCTCCCTGATTAATGCAGCATTCATCCCTAATCATCCACCACAATCATGCATATTGCACATTATCCATGCAAGCTTGCAACCCTGTTCAGTAAAAGCAATACTGCTAATTGCAATGATGACATCTACAGGATTACTTTGATTTGCAGAGCATCAACATAAAGTACTAGTATTGTGGAGGATTCATGGATTGAAAGAATCAAACTTGTTCTAGTTATTCCAAAGAAAATCAAGTTAGATGTGCATATTGCATATACATGAACTCATCTTTGAAAATACAGTCGTAAGAAGAAGGGTAAGCGAGGACATAGAGAACATACACATCACCAGGAAGCTCCGCTTGAAGCACCAGTCACCTGGGGTTCCAAGTTACATGTTGAATGGGAAGCCTAACTATTTGAGAATGATAATAAGTATCCTTTTAAAATGAAGGTTGTAAAATAAATACCTGAAATCGACCAAACATTCTCAATTCATCTTTGCCTTCTCAACTTTCACCAATTACCAAATGCACCATGATGGTAGTACAGAAATATCCTTGTCCTGCAAATACATCTCTGACCATTTCATAGACTTCGTTGAGATCATTCTGGAGGGGGAGATGAAGAGATACCATCATACTACATATTAAGCTCCAACTTTAGTCTCTAATTATAACTTAATAATATTAAAACCTTTTAAATATTTCATTAAGTAGAGCCAAACTCAAAATTGAAACATCAACCGGCTATAAAAGAATGCTTCTCAGCCATTTAAGTTCTTGTTGAGCCTAAAACAATAAACACAACAACGCAAAAATAATATATCGTAATAAATATACAACAATAGACAGCAATAGACAACAATCAATAATAAACAATGCAGAAAAAATAAAGCACACCAAAATTTATATGAAAAACCTTCCAATGTAGAAGAAAAAATTATGGACCATCAGAAAAATCTCTATTATCAAATAATAGATATACAAATTTCTTCTCTAACTAAAACTATAACTAATATAACAACTAGAGAGACAATTAGAAAAATATCACAAAATAAGTAACTTAACAAATATACATTGAATTTGTTCATAGAAAACTTCAAACCCAATCTTCACCCTTCAAAATGTAGAATTTTGAATCATAAATATATTGATAAAGTTTCAGCTCAATCGAATCACGAATCGACTTCCATTCAATCAACTCTCCTTTTTTTTTTTTCTCTCTACTTTTTTTAATTTTTTTTTTATTTTTGACACTACCTTAAAATAATCGCACCTTTTTTTATTAAATAACTAAAACTTTATGTAAAAAAAAAAATCAAAGCTCATGACTTTCTATTGATCCAAAATCAATTACACGTGACTGGACCTATTTTCCGAACAGTTCTAAACTTGAGCCTCACCTCCGTTAACAGCAACATCTTACGTCAATAAAGTACTTGAAAATTTTCACTCACATCCATTTTATTGATGTGATTTTTCAAAATTGCACTCATGCCACTTTTGAAAAATTAGTGTTAAAAAAAAAAAACTCACAGAAAAAGTAGGAAAGAAGTGCACGAAGTGAGAGAGGACATGAATTATAGCCACTTCAAGAAAAATGTAAAATTTAAAAAATTAAAAAATAAACAATAACAACTTATTAAGCATCTTTCTAACTGCCTGAACCTCACCTGACTCTAGATGGAGCTGGTCATACTACTCTGCCTCTACAGACTCATCATTGGAGTAAATATAGATTTTAGCCAATTCTAGGTTCAGTAACTTCAACTATTTATGAAATCCCTCATTGAGACCACTTCCTTTGGGGATGAGCTGCAATATTGTGCCCCTAATAATCCAACCAGTTAACACAGGCTTATCTTCAAAGGGATTAAGAGAATGTATGCTTTTATCCTCCAGTTGTACACCATATACAAATGGCAGTCTCAGTATAATAAAACTATCTGGCGGTAAGATCACTTTACATCCCAAGGCTGAACTGCAACTTTTGTTAGCGGTATGGAACTGATGACAGTAAGTATGATGCCTATAACAGAATTCATACTATTGATTTAGAGAAAGCAATAGCACCAATAACACTGATTGCTTTGCAAGAGGATATTTAAGCTTACGACACTCTCATTCCCATTAAAAACCCAAGTGACAGCAGATATCAAGTTGCTATGATATCAATAAGGGAAAATCAAAGACAACATAAAAATAATCTAGGAGCCCCTGCTAAAATCCCCAAGCACATAAGGTTTACAAAGAGTAATTAGAACATAGTTTTAATATTATACATTGTGGAAAGTAAAGCTCACGCATAAGTGAGATTTACCTCAAATTGTATAAATGGAAAATTTGCCAGAACAACAGGAAATGGAGGTGTGACCTGGAAGCAGATTCTACTCATCAGGCATCTTGTGTTTGGTGGCAAAAGACGAAAATTGTGACAGAAGAAACTGCCAATCAGTTAGGCATAGCATACTTAAGTTCAAGAATTATGATGGGCCATGACCATGATCATTGCCAGAGAAAATGAAATAGATATTGCAAGAAGCAATAATTAAAAATATATTGCTTACAAGCCCTCCAATGATCCACTCCACTTACCAAACCATCAACAAATAAGATTTGAGCTGCGTTGCTCCTATTTTAGTTTCTGACACACACTGTGCACAATTTTACAACTTTCGAGGGGTAAATTCAGCAAATAGGGAAATTTTTGTTTTCTTTCTTTAACTTCTTTGTTTTTTTTTCAGACAACAGCCTTTCTTTCAAGAAATCATGTATCGGTTTTAATGCTGAAAATGATACACCAGTGAGAGAAACTACCATTGAGCAATTGAATGGACAAAAAGTTGGTAAATGCTTCAAGATGACACAAATGCATCAAGATTTACATACACAAGAAAAGTATTTTCATCTACAATTTAACAAACAAATATGCCTCCCCTCTGCACAAAATACCAGTTACATAAACCTAAATGTAGCCAGAAGCATTTACTTTGTAGCCTAAGTGATGATACTATAAATTTTTCACAGACTATGTCACTAAACCCTAAAGTATTCACTATGTCAGAGTTCACAACTTTTAAGCATCTAACAATCTGTTTCTGATACAATATTGATTACTTGGTAGATAGAACCTATACACAAAAAAGCTATCCTGATTCAAATATCGGGAGTCCCTTCTATTTCATGTTCGGGTCAACGAGTAAGCACGCATTCTGAGAAGACAAATAGGTGTGGAATTAATATGATTCCAAACAAATCTGAACAGTCCATAAGGTCATTCAATTGATGTACTACTTTTCAAACAATTTGAAGAAAAAGCAATTTGTGGAAAAGAATTTGTGATATTTTACCAGAAAAATTCTCTGAAGCTGTGATATTGAGCTAGCAAACTTAACCTAAGGTGGATCTTTTTTATTCTTGGCAAACCTGCAGTACGGACAGTTCATGATATATTGGTAAATCTCTATTCAACATGGAGAAAGCGCAACCACCATCATCAAGGCTAACAGAATGAAACCCTCTTTCAAGGTCATTTTCAGTGACAGGAACAGCTGCCATACTCACAAATGTCAGATTATCATCCTTCTCGGGATAGAAAGTCGTGTCAGCCCATCATTAGATACATCAGCCACTAACGAAGCATTCAACAACATGCTTTCTTAAAGGGCTTATAAAGCGGTACGAGGTTTTTCATTGCCTCTAGTCTGATTAATTGTACCATGTGATGTAACAGAAAATTATAAAGAAATAGACTTCAATATACAAAACTAAGATAAAAGTGTACCACTTAAATGCCAGATAATTAACAATTTAACATAATGATAGCGCAATACCAGCTTCCTTTTTAGCTTAATATTACTTGCTCATGCTCTCAAATTTCAGCTCTTAGCTCGTTATCAAGGAACTTCATTTCAAGATTATGCCAAAATTATCCATAAACATTTACTCCAAAATAATTATAAAAAAATCCATTTCACCTAGTAAAGTACATACTCAAAAGCAAGATTATCTTAAATTTTGTTAAATTCGTCAATTGTGGCTATATTCAACACCACAGCCAAATTCTAAATTAAAAATTGATATGTTTAACTAAATTAAGTATGACCAATGAAAAAAAACTAAAACCCCATTAAGGCAAGAAAAAAAAAACTTGCAGACAAGATAAAAAGCAAGCCTTGAAGGTCCCCCAAACTCCAGCTCTCCAAACCCATCAAAATCCGACCCGGAATCCAATGACCCATAAAAAACTGGGCATCCATTTGAACAAAACTGCAAGAATAAAATCCCTTTATCTTCTTCATGATAGTAACTAATTCTCCTATACTTAAACCAATCCCTGAGTTCATATTTGTCAAGAGACAATAACCGGTCCATTTGACCCGATCCGAACACATTGGACTCTATAACCGTGTTAATAATCTGGGAAGGGTCGTCGCGTCTCCGAGATAAGAAGCCCACCACCACGACGCCGTCGACAGAGCGGGGAAGTGAAGGCGAGGAAGGCGTTAACAGAGTGGTAGGATCCGTAGAGGAAGTTGGTACGGGAAAATGAGGTGGGAGGATCAAGACCCGCACCGCAGGCGAGTTAGGAGAGCCCATTTGATCGAGAAAGGGAAACCCAGACAGGCAGGTAAATGAGTTGGATTTGTTGGACTGCCATTCAAAGAAGTTAGAAAGGGCTGTTTCTTTTGGGGGGGCTTTGGGCAAAGGAGCAATAAAGTCTCCGCCTTTTTAAAATTTTTTCCTCATAAATTTTGTTGAGGGGCCTTTACGTATATTTGTATCAAGACACATTCATTATTTGATCGGAAGAGTAAAGGATAAAATTCTAGGATTACCCTTTTTACTAGAGTTTTTTGGACCCACAGTCAGACCGGTCCCCTCAGACCATTCGAGCTCCATCCACAAAACCATAGCAGACCCAGACAGATCCTTTCCTGCCGATACCATATATAAGCCAGCAAAGTATTATAGCTCAATCCCACGGGCCACAGCAGCCACCACAACCTCAGCTCACATTATCTCCTCATCAGAATCTTCACTCCACTCATCAACTGCAAGCTGCAGCAATAGCAGCCATGGCAGCCCACGCTATTCTCACGACAACCCCATCTCACCACACTCTTCTTTCTCCACTCCCAACTAACCCTTCAAAACCACCAGCTCTACAATCCTCATTTCGTGGTGTATCTCTCAAGCTTCATCGTCAATCCCTTTCCATTGCTGCCGCTGTCCCCAAGAAGCCACTTTATGTTTTCGCTGCTTCCAAGAAAGCAGTGGCTGTCCTTAAAGGTGATTCCAAAGTTGAAGGCGTTGTTACGTTGACCCAAGAAGATGATGGTCAGTTTTTTCTCTCTCTCTCTCTCTCTCTTTTTACCCTTTTATTTACTTTCAAATGCATTTTGTGATTTGGGTTTTTGTTTTTTTTTTTATTGCTTTTTAGTGGGGAAATTTATTTCTTTCTTGGGAATTTTTGTTTGTATGAGGAGAAGAAGCAAAAGAAAGAGAATAAACACATTTTGTTTTTCGGGATTTTTGTTGTTGGAAAATTCATTTCCAAGTTTGATACTTTGAGGTTGGATAGAGTTATGATTAGGGTGTGCTTAGTTCTGTTCTGGTTCAAGATTTTTTTTTTTTTTTTTGATGTTGTGAATGCCGGCTTTTTAGTACTAACACGATTTTCTTCTTGCTTTTCAAGCTGATAATGTTATTGATTACCGGGTGTAGTCAAATATTTGATGTTCAAGTTAAGGTTGAAACGGTTGTCTAGTCTGCAACAAATTTTGTGAAATAAAGGCTTTGCGAAACTTTACTTAACATGTTCTTACTTTGCTGTTTAATATGGAAACTCAACTCTTCGAGCAACTGGAAATTCAAGGAAACATTGAGTTTGTAGTTCTTTTCTTGGCAGTCAATTGTTTCTATCATCTGGGAGTGCTTACTTATTTCTACCACAAACAGGTCCTACTACTGTGAATGTTCGTGTTACCGGTCTTACTCCAGGGCTTCATGGATTCCACCTAGTGAGTGTTTTGTCTTTAGCTACTCATTGTCAGTGGATTTGAGTACATAAAAGTTTTTTGAAATCTATTATTTTAATTTTTGTTTTCATTTTATGTGTAGCATGAGTATGGTGACACAACAAATGGATGCATGTCAACAGGTAGAAGTTATTGCATTTGAATTACATGCCTTAGGTTCTTATAGTGTCTCAATTTGTGTATATCTAAGTTTTTTATTTTTAAAATTTTAAATTATAGGAGCACATTTCAATCCTAACAATATGACACATGGTGCTCCTGAGGACAAAGAACGCCATGCGGGTGACCTGGGAAACATAGTTGCTAATGCTGATGGTAATGCATTCTTAAATTAAAAAAAAAAAAAAAAAGAGAAATTCTATGCTTCTATATTAAATTTATTCATTGCTTATTGTTTGACTGACACAGGAGTGGCAGAGGCAACAATTGTGGACACACAGGTGCTATTCAAAACCTATGCTTCTTAGTTCTTTCTGATAAGCTTTGTGCTAATAATCGTGCATGCTTGTTCTCTTTTGTGCCTGTGCATGCGTAATTTTCCTTTTCAGTGTGAGAGGGCTCTCACTCCTGCTTCCTTTTCAGTTGCTAAGTTTTTGACTTTCACGTGCAGATACCACTAAGTGGCCCCAATGCAGTCATTGGAAGAGCATTAGTGGTTCATGAGCTTGAGGATGATCTTGGAAAGGGTAATCATTTGGCTTAAAATTCTCATCCTTGCAATTCTTACTTTATTATAGTTAGGGAAAGGAGACTTGTAGTGGCCATTTATTGTTAGGGTGGTGGAATTTTGTTGTAGGAATATAATTCTTTTTGTTTAAATGTATATGCTTCATCATAGTTTATATAATTTATCAGGGGCATATTTCAGTTTTCATTCCAAAACTGCCCTCTTATTTGCTTCTTACTTCTTCTTTTTTTTATTTGGCTATGCATCTGCAGGTGGACATGAACTTAGTCTAACCACTGGCAATGCAGGCGGAAGATTGGCATGTGGTATGTGTAAAGTACTTTTATCTATACGCCTATATGTTTCCAGAGCAGCAAGAAGTTTGCACCTTTTCCAGACTGATCCCTGATTTCTTTTTCTTGCATCTATCTCTTGAGCATAATTACTTTCTCCTTGGTTGTTCCTTGAATATCTTAGCTAAGCAAAAACTACATTAATAACTTGGAGGACTATGCAGCTCGTTGTACCAATTTTCCATGGCCTTCATTTTATTTTGGGATTTAAGCTTCATTGGCTCTGTTCATTCTTTGGTTATGCTTGAGGGGACAATTTTGCTTTTGGTTATCTCAAAACCTGACTAATTTATATTTGTGTATGTTAGATCCTTCAGGTAGGTGTATCTGCAATTCAACCTATTCATTTATATATTTTTGGAGGGAGCAGGTGTAGAATGCCGTGGAAAGGACAAGGACTTCTAGATATCATGGTTTTAGATTTTGATAGATTTGCAGTCTCTTAGAGGTGTAGACAACGGCTAGAAGGATTAGGAAGGCTTCTCAGATGAACTCTTGAACTTTTGGAATTACTTGTATGCCTATGGCTTGGGAATGAATGTGGTAAACGCTAAGTGATCTTGCTGTGCCAGATATCACTTGGGTGTTCTGCTGTTGTGAAGTTAAATTTCTGACAATCTTTGACATGCTTGTGCAAATATTCTTCCCAACATAACATATCTTCTTCATCATGTCAAACATTATATTGATTTCCTAACGTCCTCTTATATTGTCTTGTTTTGGTAATTTGCGTGCAGGTGTTGTCGGCTTGACTCCTATATGAAATCTTTTTATGACACCAGTTTGGTCTTGTGCTATTAGTTTGTTGCTTGCTTTTGCCAGCTTTATTTTTAGAACCGTAAGTTTCTTGAAAGGTTGAGAGGGTGTAATATGAGAAAGTTTTAGTCAAATGACATTTGCAGACCTTGATCTTTGTCTGTCATTATTATTCCCTACGCAATAAAAACTTGCATGGCTTGTGAATGTGCCGAACTTTCTTCTTTGAGCTTATGAAATTTCATGCTGCTGGTTATAGGAAATTCTGATGCCTTGCCACAACCAAATCTACGGGAAACTAGTAAATTAGGCCTAGGACGCTAATCAACTATTCACTTGGGCTTATAGAAATATCAAACAACTATTCACCCGGCACTTTTCCTCTCTTTAGGGTCTAAGCGACCTCCCTCATTACGAGTAAATCTTATGTGGTAGCCTCCTCGGCTGGCTATATATCTCATTTAATATAATAGGTATAATTCAGCAACATCCAGTTGCTGTGGTGTAGTGGTTATCACGTCAGTCTTACACACTGAAGGTCCCCAGTTCGATCCTGGGCAGCAACAGTTTAAATTGACCCTTTTTCTCTTTTTACTGGGCCGAAGACCTCAGAAAATGATTTGGTTTTGGTTCTGATATTTGGACCCAGTCCAATGATACAAGTCCAGGGCTGTTCAGTATGAATTGGATAACAAAAGAAAGCCTGCATCAAATGCCCTCTACACCTCCAATTTGCTGTAGAGTTGGTCCTGCTTGCAACTCTAGAATATGAGACATTTACCTGAGAAAATTTCATGCAATTCACAAAGGTATGACTATTCTGTCAATAAAGGTGACACTGACAGTTTTGCAGGATTATTACTCACAAGCTTGCTCTGATATATATATATATATATATATATATATATATTGGTACAAGAGGGAGAACTGCGGCTCAAACCTATGATCCTAATTACACGAATCTCGCCTCACCCTTGCCACTTGAGCTAAGCCCCGCTGGCCACTGCTCTGTTGCATGCATACAAGCAGCAGCAGCAGCAGCAGCATCAATGAAGATGAGAAAACATTTGGCAATATACAACGCATCACAGCCACAGAGAAAAGCTGTTTCCAGGCGAAATTAAGCAATATAAGACTAATTTTTAAAGGCTTAATACATTCTACAAGGGAATAATGAAAAACTGAAAAAAACAAAAACAAATATAAAACTGCTCTGCTATGGTTAATACATGTCTACACAAAATTACACATTGCCACTGGCCAATAGGCAACGTATTGAACTTTCCTGGATCATGAACTTCCTGCAATCAAACAATGAAGCATTTTAGCATTGTGAAAACTTTGACTCCATTGGGAACCGTAAAAACCTATCGTGAAAACCTTATGAAACACATATGAAATGATTGCTGAACTGTGCTGTGGACATCATTTTGATGTAGTTAATAATTGGTGTGTTGATAAATGATAGACCTTTGGTTTGAGTAATTATAATATAATTTTTCATCAAATAAAAAAAATCTCTTGATCTAATTATAGTAGCCCTCATTGAATTACCAATTACCAATTATTTGGCCAAACTGTCATGTATTCAGCATTTCCTAATATATAACATTATGACAACCGCCTAGAATCTTAGTTTGGACGCATGCAATATGACGAGCAATTAATCTCTATCCATTGTCAACCAGTATCGTGGCTGGACTGGTTTTATCAATGGCACATGTTAAGAAAACCCCTTTAGCCAAATTCATTTATTCATTTATTATTGCTTCATTTAACAAACCATAAAAAATAAAACCCTTTGAGCCAACCTCGTTTACCCAAAAAGGAACGCTTGACTTAATTTTTTTCTAGCTACGTGCAGCTTCCATCAGCTTCCAAACCTGTATGCCCTGAACTAGGTAGGAACTCCACCAGAATCTATGACTCCAAACTGCATTTGTTTTGTCTCGGGATCTCTACATTGATGCTTTTTCTTTGTTTACAGTTTTTCTTAAAAAAAAAAATTGGTTTGCTAATATTAAATCTCTGTCGTGAAATTTGGTTCAAGTATAATAAATGTATAAATATATGCTTTAATAGTGTATTATGCTTGAAAATAAACAAGTGAAATGCGTGAAAGACTGAAAGTAAGAAGATGAGAGTACATATAAAAGTATTTTAAAGCCAAACTTTTGATTTGATTGTGGTTATAAGGAAACCGATAATAATTTTAATTATTAAGCTCCATTGTCTCTACAAGATATTGAAGATTAATGATTTATTACCACAAAATTTCCTCCCAAATTAAGCATAAAAATTACTATTCACATATATTACTATACATATTCAAATTATATATTCCCAAATAATTTGTATTTTTGTGTCTTTATTTATTGATATATATGATTTTCTATTTCTTTGTTTTAATATATGAATAAACTCTATTGTAATATATCAATTTATATTTCACTCACAATGGGTTAGTTTAGTTAATAAAGAAAAGAATTTCATTTTTTTTTTTGTCAAACATGATCGATCTTTGTTATGAACATCCCAAAAATAACACATTAAATGTTATTTTATGTGAGAGAATACACTCTTAAAATAGATGGACGAGGGATTAGATATAAACAAAACCTGAAACCACCCTAATGTTATTAAAAAATTAATTATTATTTGAAACGTTTGAGAAAAAAGTAGGGGATAGTGAGAATTTGAACAGCTCTAGGTGGAATGAGAAAGCTTGATGAGGTAGGAACTAAAAAAGTGAATGACAAAGGATAAGCTTTAATGATATTGCTTCATGTGCACAAATTAACAACTCCTAGATTAATCCTGGCAAAGTAAGTATATATTTTTATCATGGATTTCACAATTTCAAAATTTTCTAGTGTCTCATGAATTTAAGCTCATATAATCCACAACATTAAGGTTATGAACAATGTTATTCATTTAATTAATATACTTTAATATTCTACATCTACCTACTCAATTGTTAATTAATTATATATGGCTGCCAGAAATGGTCAAACATTATTTTTATAGCTTGATGAAAAGAAGCATATAATCTATATATTAACCTTTTTGGCTAACTTTGTTACAGTTTACGTCAATTTATGAGGTATAGTTCACTTTGATCCATTGAGCCAGATGATTTTGTTTTATAAAAAAGATTTTTTGTGAGATAAAATTATGACATCTTCGAATTAAAGCAGACAATATATTACTAGTTGAATACAAGTCTCTACAAATAATATCGTAACAGTCACTAATCTAACGGAAACTAAGTACTTTACTGTGGAAGCCACCTCTAAAATTATGAGGGAATTAAGTGCTATATGATGAGAATCACATCTAAAAACCTAACATTTGGTGTGATCATGGTTTGATTCTGTATGTGCTTTATGTTAGACTTAACGGAAACATTAAGATTTAACTAGAAGAATTTATAACACCCTAATCTCACATCCGTGAAACTTTTAAATCAAAATGAATAATACTTCAGAAGTTTGATATGGACCTCCAAACACTCATTCAAGGTATGATTAATATTACTAACATACTCATATATCATGCCATTTTCTCACATCTGATGATCAGCTTGGTGCTCATTAATGCCATATATGAACAAAAAATAAAAACAAGAAATTTAGGTTTGCATGTCTGGATTGATTAAATGAACCCCATAAATTTCTTCATTAATTTAATCTTTCCCTTCCTTTACACTAGAGTTTCAATTTTCCGAGAAGATAGAGCTTTGGAGTGATGTCTAATAGCAGGAAAAATTAAGGCTTATTCTTATCCTATTGGGTAAGCCTCTTCAACAATTTGAATACTTCAAGTCATGAGTACTGAAAGGTTGATATCCATGTAAGGATAGAAAATCTGATTTTTATTAGAGAAACTGAGATAAGAGATTGACATGATGCAAGAAGAAATTGCTAATAAATTCATGAGAGCAATAGGGTTAATTTTGTTTTTTTGCTTCTTTAATATAATACTATGAAAATGTTTGCCAACTTTGTCATAGATTTTGTCTTTATTTGAAGGGTTAGAGAGATTAGAAATATCTGAGGAAGATCTTATGTGGGGATGAACAGAAGCTCTTAAGTTGACTTGCAGCTCTCTCTTTCTGTCAATGTCTTCGTTTTCTTAAGCAAAATTTTGTTTGTTTTCTCACAACGAAGAACTTTTCTTGTACCTCTCCCTATATAATCATTCTCACCCACAAACAAGCTTTTTAGAACATGCCATTCGAATCCCAATCAAGGAAGATAAAGCTACCATCAGATACGAATTGAAGCTGGGGGAAAAGTAAGGAGAGGTTTTGAAAATGATGTCAGGGTCGGCTTCATGTTTCCCCAACGCATCACAAGGTTTGCAAATGTATCCCGTAGCTGCAGAAGACATTGTTTCATCTTCCCTTGAAGCAGATGGTTCAGGCCCAGGGGCTCATTCAAGCTCTCTTGTCTATTATCTCTCCATCCTGAAAGATAAAGTTCATCAGGTTCAATCACTTGTTAGCGTCCTTATCTCTCCAGATCAAACCCACCCTGAGTCAACGTCTTTAGCCATGGCAAGCATGGGTTCTTTGGTTCAAGAAATCATTGTAACAGCGTCTTCCATGACATTCATTTGCCAACAAATGTCTCTTGGAACCACTTCAGGTAACAATAGCACAACTGATCAATTGCACCAGCAGCATGTTAGGGTAATCCCTGATAATGGGATATCTCAACCACCAAACTTCACTAATAATTGTGTTGGTAACATAGTTCAAGAAAGATCAGGACAAGGGTTTTATTCTAGTTCTGAAACTATTAGCTGGTATGGTGACCACTGCAATAACTTTAACAACAACAATAACAATAGCAATCGAAATTTGCAAGTTAGAAATGATGATAAGCTGGAAAGGAAAGAATTGGCTAAATTGACTCGAAGAAGCGAAATTACTGAAGGGTCACAAGGGATTTCAGCGAAGAATTATGATATAGTCGAAGTGGATGCTGCGGACATATTAGCTAAATACACACATTACTGCCAAGTTTGCGGTAAAGGGTTCAAGCGAGACGCAAATTTGCGAATGCACATGAGAGCTCATGGTGATGAATACAAGACCACTGCTGCTTTGACTAACCCCATGAAGAATCACGAGGAAAGTACTACTGAGGTGGGAAACGGTTCGACGAAATTGCTGCCTAAGAAATATTCATGTCCTCAGGAAGGTTGTAGGTGGAACCAGAAACATGCCAAGTTCCAACCACTGAAATCCATGATTTGCGTGAAGAATCACTACAAGAGGAGCCATTGTCCGAAGATGTATGTCTGCAAGCGGTGTAACAGTAAGCAATTCTCGGTGCTGTCGGATCTCCGGACTCATGAAAAGCACTGTGGTGATCTCAAATGGCAATGTTCTTGCGGTACCACATTTTCCAGGAAGGATAAGCTTATGGGTCACGTTGCCTTGTTCGTTGGGCACAGTCCAGTTGCCACTAATTCTTTGATAAATCCCGGAAAGCTCGAACACCAAGCCACCACTATGCAACTAGATGACAGGTAAGATGAAACACCACTACTTGCATATAAATAATACTATTACTAGATGCCATGCTTTTCTTTCTATTTTTATACAACTCCTGCATTTATAACATGTGTAGCTATATATACACATATAGATGTTCTTTCACAAGGAAAAAAAATATGCCCTTGTTTGAAGTTAATCAACTTGTACTAGTAATTGGGATTACGTATAAGTTTTAACCATGTGGCTCTTATATAAATGTTCCTAGGGGATGAAATAAGAAGTAAGCAACCGTCCGGACATGGCATGATCATGCATGGATTGGACTGTGGTCTGTTTATTTTTTGAAGGCTTGGCTCCAAAAGCATAGGAGTTTGATACAAATGTTTTGATCGAGGGCATCAATCATGTTAAAGTATATGTCTGTAAAGATAGTTTGAAAGCATTATACATTTTGCCCAAAGCTATATAAAAATAAAGTTTATATTAAATATATTGTTAGTGTATAAATTTTATAAAATCTATATACTAACAATATATTAAATATAAACTTATATAAATATTGTACCATATGTATATCACTTTTTTTTTTGTTTCTCTTGTAATTTGTCTCAACATTGTGAGTTCTAAGTTCTAACTCAAATTTATTTACGCGATAAAATATATATAAAATTTCATGTATATAGTATCATGCATACATATATACTTGTATGGTTGTATTTTATTTTTAGTTTTGACTTCAAGTGATTGAAAACTTTGTGGCCTCATTGATTCTATGCAAAGCTAACAACTAACATGCATGCATCCATATAGGATATACTTTGGTAATTAAATGCATATTTTCCATATTTAACCTTATTATATTATTTTCTTATATTTTAATATCCAAAAGTTTTCAATATGCTATTATAAGGGGTTACATATTTTTAGCTTAATTTTTAGTTAACTATAATTTTTAAAATTAATTATTTTTAACTTTAACCAAAGATTTCAAAATATTTTCAAAAATATTCGAAATAGAAAAAGAAAAAAAAATATTTTTAAGTAGCATAACATTTTGAGACAATGGAAGCACCATATCATGTTGATTCTTGCCACTTGAAGGTTGTTAACTTTAAATTTCTGTTTGTTCATCATCTCGTGCTTCATTAGCTTTCGCCTTTGCAACATAACATGGTGATGAACAACTGAATTCACAGTTGTATCTTCTGATCATGTGTGGCTTTTCTATCCCCATGAACATGAAGCTCTTGCTTGCTTCTTATGCTTTCTCTTTACCATCTATTTTATATATTTAGAAACACAAGCACAAACTAACTATTACTCAAATTAATGAAATTTGTGATAATTATAACTGCAAACACCAAACTCAAATCTTATACTAGGAGGTTGGAGCAGAGAGCATAGCTTTTGTCGTGAAATTAATCTCCTTGTGATCAAAGTTGGTAACCCTTTGGGTTTTTACTACTCCCTGTTCTATTAATGAATGGTTGAAATATATGTCTTTCTTTGGTTGAAAGAATAAAAAAATAAAACATAAAAAATTGGTAAAAAAAAAACATATATTTTTTTATTGAAAAGTTAATTGGGTGTGATGCTAATTCAAGAAATGGTATTATACATTAGTATTTGTAGTTTTTCCTTTTTTGGCCAATGTATACTGTCTATATGTAAATTTATGAATTTTGCATGTTGAGTTAATTTGAAAACAAGATAAAAAAAAAATCCAAATTTTAATTTAAAAATAATATTTAATATAATTAAATTAAAATTTAAAATTTTTTAAATAAAAGAAACAAACAATTAATTCTTTTTTTTTATAAGTGAAAGAAACGTTTCTTTACACGCCACGTGGAGACATACTGCATTTTGATTACCCAACGGTTGCCCGGGGAACATAAAAATTCGGCGAAAAATTAAAAATGGGAAACGAAAAAAAGTCCCGCTTAAATTCTTAAACCTTAAAGACGACAAGATCCAATCCTGTGCGTCCAATAGCACGCACTCAAATCCAACGGCCCCGACCTTCCACGTCATCGATCCTCGCAAACAAAAATCCACCAATAATATCTCACCCCTCTACCTATATATATTCACATCCCACATCTTCTCCCTTTCATTTCCCCGCAACATTTTCTATTCGTCGAGACTTTTTTGAAACCAAATTCCCAATGGCACCTAAAGCCGAGAAGAAGCCAGCCGAGAAAAAGCCAGCGGAAGAGAAGAAAGCCGAGAAGGCCCCAGCGGAGAAAAAGCCTAGAGCCGAGAAGAAACTCCCCAAAGAAGCCGGCGATAAGAAGAAGAAGCGAGCCAAGAAGAGCGTGGAAACCTACAAGATATACATCTTCAAGGTTTTGAAGCAAGTGCACCCTGATATCGGGATTTCGAGTAAGGCGATGGGGATCATGAACAGCTTCATCAACGACATTTTCGAGAAGCTTGCTCAAGAAGCGTCTAGGCTTGCTCGTTATAACAAGAAACCTACGATTACGTCCCGCGAGATTCAGACGGCTGTTAGGTTGGTTCTGCCTGGAGAGTTGGCCAAGCACGCTGTCTCGGAAGGGACTAAAGCTGTTACCAAGTTTACTAGTTCTTAGGGTTTCGAAAAATTGGTATTTTGGGAAATATGGTTTTGTTGTAAAAATTCATGGTTTCAATGTCGTTTCTTTTGTGGATCTCTCTGTAATTTCAAGAGCTTAAATGGAAATCGGATTATGTTTTTAATTTCTTCCTATATACACTGTATAATTCTCAATATTGGGACTTTTTTTTTGTTAATGTTACAATTTACTAAGGTACAAGGAAACCTTGCTTTGTTGCAAGAAGTGCAGGCGGCAAACCATGAATCAGTAAATTGATAAATGAATAAGCTTTATTTAAACTTGGCAATGTGTATTATACAATACACATTGTATTGTATAATTACAGTAAATTTGAATAAGAATTAATGGATCATATTCATATTCCATGTTGAGTTAGAGATTAGAACATAAGACTAAATCAGGAAAAAGAAAAGAAGAGATCAGATCGTGAGACATATAAAAGCAAAATGAAAATATTTTCCTCTCTGCTATTTTCTTTTTCATGTTATGTCACCACCGCTTTCCACAAAAAGCAAAACAATATATTTGTTTCAAAGTTCAGTATGTTGAAAGATATAGATGAAGCTATCAACCATAAGCACGTGAACTGTTAGCAAATGCATGGCAACAAGATTGCCCTGCCACATTGAGATCAAATATTCCAGACAACTTTCTCAATCAATTTTTATATCCAATTCAGACAATGGATGCAGAAGCTGGTATTCAATGTCATATTTGTCACATTTGAATTCTTACAAAAAAAAAAAAATTCATATTCACTTTTCCTTTTCCATGAGAGTAACAAATAAGCTATCACTCATAATGCTGAGGGAAGCAAAGTGAATTTCTAGGTCAGCCTCCACAGGCACATCGATTAGTCCAAGAGAACCCCCAATGTCAAACACATTGTCAATTCACAAAGTGCACAAATAAGCATACATTTACTTACAGCCGATTGCAGTTATTCAACAAAAAGGATCATTTCTTTGGGTAAGTCTGGTGATCAGGTCCAATATCACGTGAACCGGTGTTTATGTAAGGCCCTCGAAATGTTGCCTACGGAGGAAGTAGCTTAGATGAGTCCACAGGTCTCCTAGATGTCCTGGATGATACAAACATTATTTAACTTTTGCAGGTTAATAAATATAGTTGTCAACAATATATTAACATTGAGAAGAAGTATCTTACGCCATATAAAATGGAAATGTTAAGCCTGCAGCTGCAAAAGCCAGTAAGCCAAAGGCAACTATAACATTCCGTGCTCATGTCATGGGATTCTAAACCAAGTTCAAAAAGGAAAGACTGAGAACTAACAAGGAAAAGAAATTGTTGTCATTTCTGCTAGCAATATGAAATTTACATGTTAACCAGTACATTTTATATAGCAAATAAAAGAAAAAGTATTCTAGAATTGCAGATGCTAGCTTAAACTACCTATAAAGCAAATGAGGGTCAAAAAGAAAACTAGAACTGCCAAGTTCATTCTTAAGAGCAATAGAAGCACCGATCCAAAAATGCTGCAGACATGCATTCCTTATGACCCTCTATCTAATCTGTAAATCTGAGTAAACTAGCTAGGTAGGTTTTCACTCCCACTGATTACCACAGCAATGCAAAGCAGAAAACTTTCCACTGTCCGCATGAGATTTATACAAATGATTAAGACCAATACCAGGTATGCCAGCAAACATGTCTCAATTCCCAGCTCAAGAATGTTAGCATATGCTAAGCAACTATCTACAGCATAATTTCTACAACAAGACACTAGCTTTCACATCCCAAATTTTAATTTCTAGTTGATTCTCTTTTGTTCCATTTTTATTGCACTTTTATAGCAAAAGTAAATAGAAACATTACAAAGAAATCAACCTAAAACTAACCCATCATATACTAACTTGTAGAGTCTAACCTGAAATTATTGTAGTTTATTTTTCTCAGCAGATCAAAGCATACAAGTATCAGAGAAAATCCCACTTCAAGAATCAACAAAATGAACATAAAAAAAGGAAAACGATTGCTTTTTAAAGATAGACAAAAATCAGAAATGAGAAAGAAAGAAACTTTAAACAAGATTTAAGAGACACCCATTTGGGAAAGAGGTTGTTGAATCTGAAATCAATTACCTGAATGAAGCGAATCGGAAATTTAAGTCAGGCCAAAAGAAAAAAAAAAATGGAAATTTAAGCCACTCTCAGTCGCAATTGGACTGGATGAAAGGAAAAAGAATAAATATTCATGAGTTTTGATTACTGAAACGAGCCAGGTGTAAAATTGGAGTCCTGGAGATGACACATTGACACCCATTAGAAAATGGGCCGGTGTCCTTGTTAAAGAGCCGAACAAAATTTGCTGGCCCACGGACTGATAAAGAATCTGAATTTTATCCGTATATAATGAAAAACTTGAATTTTTACTTAAATGAAAATAAGATGAGTATTATATTTTAGGTATTGGGATAAAGATCGAGATGAAATTAATATTTTATTGAATATAAGGATAAAAAAATAATATAGTATTTGTTTTGTACCCATATCTTATATATATTTAATAAATAAATTTTTTATTAAATAATATAAATTATTATTTTAGATTAATTAAAATTAATATTTTTAAAAAATATATATTAATATATATTTATAAAAAAAATTATCTAAATATATAAAATAAAAATTAAAAAAAGTAAAAAAATAAAATTTAGTTTTTATTCTTTTAAAAAATTTTAGATTTCAAAATTATTCATATCCATTAAATATTTATAAAAATAAAAATAAAAATAAAATTTAAAATACCCTGCGAATATGAAGATAAAAATAATTTTATGGAGTTAAATATCATATAAAATTTTTAAAATAAGAATAAGGATGAAAAATACTGTCTTTTCTTCGTATCCTATCTGACTATCCATTAACATCTCTAACTGATCTCACTCTTAATGGGTCTTCCCTCGCTTCCGCTTAGCCCGACACCAAAAGTGATAATTATATATAGTACTAAATTAGTTTCTGATTTTTTTTAGTTGTTTAGTTGCAGTTCCATTAAAATTTTATTTTTATCTGCATAAATTGACTTCATTGTTTTGCTATGTTGGGCTTACTGGTTGACCGGCAAACTAAGGAACGATTGTAGGTTTGTTTAGATTAACGATCCTTTTGCGCAGCCCATTAATCCAAGTGTTGTTAATGAAGTTAAAAGTTTGAAAGTTTGAATTGCTTTTTAAGCTTTCATTTTTTTTCTTGTGTTGTTTTAACTTTTGAGCTTCAGGTTTGCCTCTTTTATGGACAAGCTTTAACACCTCAAGATCCGCGTGTTATTCGGGGTTAAAATATTTTTTATTTTATCATCTTTATTAATTAATTTTTTAATTTATTATAAATTTTATCTAATTAAAAAATAAAATGAAAGCAACATGTGAATACATCAATTGATCTCAATTTTTTTATAAACTTTATCTAATAAAAAAAAAAAACCCAAAACAAAAGTAAAAATTAAAAATTAAAAGCAAAAACAAAAATTTATAAAATAAAAATGCTTCTTATTATGATGGCTATGTTGAAAAATGAACAAAAAACAATATAAACGTGCTATTTTTAAATCAATTGAAAGATAACTTGATCTATTTTGATACGTAAAAAGAGTAAAAATAATAAAAAAGGAATTTATCAAAAAGAAGGGAAACTTTCTTATTTCTATCTATTGGTCTAAAAAATTTTCTTCAACAACAATTAAAATAAAAAAAAGGATGAAAAGTTAAAAAAAAAAAACTAATTAAAAATTAAAAATAAAAAGCCCAAAATGAGTGAAAAAAATAAAAAACAAAAACAATGAAAAAATACTTCATAAAGAGTAGCACATTGACAATTATATATATATATACACACACACTCTTGAGGTTACAATGATTTGAATTTTAATCACTGAAATTAAGAGTTTGATATTTTACAAATTGATTACTTGATTGTTGACCATATAGATATTTTTCATTGAGTTAAAAATATTAATTTTAAAAATTAAAGTATTAAATAATAATTTTAGTATTCTATATATGAATATAAAGTTAAATTAATAATAAAATATAGTTTATATATTACCCAAAATATGTATAGACAAAACACTCTAAACATGCTTTTAACACATTATTGTTTTTTTAAAAAACTTGACATGTCCTAACATGATCCTAATTTTAAAAAATAACTTTTTATCTTGATCAGGATTGATCTAAATTCATTTGGTATAGATTATTTTGTCATTTCTATCAATAAATAGAATTTGTTAACTTTATCTAATCAAAATATTTTAAAAAATGTGAAAAAAAAAGTCAAATGGGAGTGACATGTGAACACCTTTATTGGTTTTTTTTTTTAATAAAATTAATTTAATTTAAAAAATTAAAAAAAAAAAGAAAAGGAAAAAAAAGCTTATAAATGTATCATGTTGATATTATAATTGAACTTTAAATATTAATATTTTATATTAAGATATCAAATAATAATTTTATTAATAAAAATAAAAAATATATATAGTAAACAAAAAAGATCATTGAGGTGCCACATTGACATTTTGATTGAGCTTAAAATGTTAATAATTTAAATTAAGATATCAAATAATAACTTAATTAATATAATATATATATATATATATAAATAAAAAATTTAATAAATATTAAAATATATATATATTTTAAATATATCATGAGATAACTTAGGACAGAGCACCTTAAATTTTTTTTTGATTGAGCACCACTTATCTTAAAAACAAACGACTGACTTGATCTAATATCAAATTTAATAAAAATGCTTATATCAAGAATGATTAAATTTATCGGGTATTTATTATTTTGTCATATTTATTAGCTGGCTCATTTGTTTTAAAATTTATTTAATTAAACTTTTCTAATTTTTAAAGAATTTTAAAAAGTAAAAAAAAAAAGTTAAAAATGCAATATCCAGGTGTCACACTGACACTTTATTTGGCATGCATTTTTATAGAATCATCTAATGATAAAAAAGAAAAAAAAACAAAAAATTAATCAATAATATCATATGAGTCCGATTCTAAATCTAAAAAAAAATATTATTTACTAAATATAAAGAAGAAAAAAAAAAGAATATAAAATGAGAAAAGAGAATTGAAGTGTATCAAATAATAACTTTATTAATATAATATATATAAATATAAAAAAATAATAAAAGATATACTTTTATAAATCATAAGGTGGTTAAAGTTGAATATAAATCTTATTCTAATTCGATCTCAATTTTTTAATAAAATTTAACTTGTTTCAACTCGATTTTGATATAAAAATACTCATATTGAATCAAGACAAATTAAAACTCATTGAATATTAATTGTTTTGTTATTCTTATCAAATGACTCATTTTATTATAATATTTATCAAATTAAAAAATACAAAATGAAACAAAAAAATCAAACGTGTTGTTACGTAGATACTACATTGACATTACTTTCTAATAAAATTAATCTAATTAAAAAAATTAAAAATCCAAATAAACATAAAAAAAAAAAAAAGGAAAAGGACCAGCAAAATTAAAAAAAGAACAAAAGGAGTCAATCAAGTTGTTACATGGATACTCTATTCTTTATTCACAAAATTTATTTAATTAAAATTAACAAAAAAATAAAAAAAGGACAAAATAAAAACAAAAAAAAAGGAACGGGGGGCTATGTGAATATTTCATTACTCAAAATTTTACAATATTTTATAGGAATGCCATGTGAACACTTCATTTTATAACTTTTTTATTATATAAATAATGTTCATAAAAAAACTAGTTTTTAATATAAATTATATCTTAATTATATATAAATATAATATGTTATAAAATTAATATCTTAAATTAAAATATAAAAAATAACTTAATTAATATTTTTTGTAAGGCTTAAATAAAAAATGGTATATGTACTATATATATTTTTTATAAGTTTGTTACCTAAAAAATAAAATCATCAATTTGATACTCAACTTTTATTTTATCATCTACGATAGTATTTTAGACTAATGTCATTAGTTAAATTGTTGACTTGACATGAATATCTAATAAAATGCTCACATGTACCAAAAAATTCACTCAATTCCACATTGTTAATTGTTATGTTAATATTAAAAAAATCAAAACTTTTTTTTTAAATTAAAAAATATAAAATTCTAATTTTAAAAAATATTAAATATTTAAAAATATTATAAAACTAAAAAATCTGAAATATTTTTTAGAAATTATAAAAATTATAAATTATAAAATTTTTACAAATTCAAAAAAATAAAAATTTTAATTAAAAAAGATTATGAAAATTTTGTTAAAAATAAGAATTTTAATAAAAACAACATTTTCTTAAATTCAAAAAATCATAAAAACTTAAAAAAAATTGAAAATAAAAAAATATAAATTTCTTTTGAAAAAAATCTAAAAATTTTAAAAATATTCTGAAAAAATAAAAATATTCTAAAAAATAAAAAATCTAAAACATTATAAATTATATAAGAAATTTAAAAATTTTTTTAAATAAAAAATTTAAAATTTTGTTGAAAATTTAAAAGAATTTCTAAAAATTCTAAACATTTTGAATATATATATATATATATATATATAGAAAATTAAAATTGTATGATTCAAAAATTGAAAAATTTTAGTTTTTTTTTTTTTAAATTTTTACAGTTTTTTAAAATTATTTAGATTTTGTGAAAAAATTTTATTTTTTTAAACCAAAATTTAAAAAAGTTTTATGAATTTTTTTTTAATTTTAAGAATTTTTTATTTGTATTAAAATTTTCATTTTTTGAAAGTTACTAAAGTTTTTTTTTTATATTTATTAAAATTTTGATTTTTTTTGAAAATTTTAAGTTTTTATAATTTTAAAAATTTTAAAAGTATTTCATATATATTTTAAAAAATTTAGAAAATTTTAAGAGTTTTTTAAAAATTTTCTTTTTAATACTAATATAATAATCAATGATTTGATGTTAATTAAATATTTTGACATGTATCAAAATCTTATTTAATATTAATGTCAATTCAGTAAGTTAACTAATGATATTAATTTTAGATACAAACGTATATGACAAAATAAATATTAAAATATTAATTTTATTTTTTAGATATTAAACTAATAAATTATTTATCGTATAATGATATTCTTATATTTAACTTTATATATAAATTTACAATTATATAAATAATACAAAATATATTTAATCCAAATGAATTAAAATTTTAAAAGGGAATTGAAAAACTTACAAACCATAAAAAAGTGACCCATCCAAAAATGCAAAAGTAAAAAGAGAATTAAAAAATTAGAAGAAAAAATTTTAAAAATAAATGGGAAAATTGAAAAAAAAAAAGGACCCATAAAAAAAGGATGATTGAAAAAAAAAAAGACGAGTTGAGGTTGGAGAGCCTCACCCCAAAGAAAAAAGGAAGATTGTCTTTGGAAAAAAGATGGAACCCACCGAAAATAAAAGGAGAATAGATGGTGTGGTTGGTTTCACGAAAAAAATTGAGAGAGGAGGATGAGATGCCACGTGACAGTCTCATTGAAAAGCACTGTACAATTGTACCTGTGTAAAATTTTATCCCGTGGATTTTGCGCGGATAGGAAAACTGACAAAATAGAAAATTTCATAATTACTTTGATAAATCACTGATGAGATCTTCGACGATTGTTTTATCGATGGATGGCGAGCCGTCTTCTTAAAGCAAATGATGTGACTGTCCAGGGATGCTTTCCTTGGGTTAGCCAAGCGCCCAGCCATGAAAGTTTTGATTTAGGCATAACAAGTGACTTCATAGATACTTGGTACCTAATTTGTGATTGTTATCTTTCGTTTGGAGCTCAGATAAGCATGATTTGATGAAATAACTTCTCAGTCATAATGGTTAACAAAATCTATCACAATCTCAAAATTCCTGGTCAATAAATTCCGTTATGATGCCTGCTAAATATTACAAAGTGGAATATTCGGGTGACAGAAAACTGGCTCTTCTATATATTTTTTATGCATAAACTCAGCAAGCACAAACAACGAAGGGAAATTCCAAGGTATCAGTCTACTGTTATTCTTTTTGTCAAGAAATATGGCGTGTTTTATTTATAAAATTATACAGCGTTTGGTATAGCATGGAGGGAATAGAATCCCACCAACTTCTGCAACAGTCACCTCGGACAGAAAACCAGCAAATCCGAAGGTTCTCCTCCCTTTTGTTGGCGAGCGTCAAGTGCATCTGCAGCTCTGTCTGTTACGCTTAGCAATGGTGAAAATTTAAGTTTGCTGGATCCGCCCACAATGGACCTGCTGCAATTATTGATGAACAGAGACCAATAAATTCAGAAACAATTTTAATCAATACCATTTAAACAGCTGCAGGTGTAAAGCATGCAGTACCAACACTATAGTCAAGAAAGTAAGAAACAATCTCAACGTGGGGTGTTTTGTTCCAATTTTCAGACATGAAGAGCAATGTGATCACTTGAGCAAGTATCATAATTAGTCAAGAAGCAGAGCCTCAATTTCTCTGTCTTCGCATTTTTGCTCCTTTTTCTTGGCAACCAAACGCCTTCATAGAGGCGAAGATTCTTCGGAGTTACCTTAATTTCTGACATGAGATTAATGTATAGTCCCAACTCGTGATCAATTTCTCCGTTTTCCACCCAGTGTAGAATGATTTAGCTTCTTACATCACACACTACCTTCCTAATATCGTAAGTAAATGAAGACGCACTTGTCACTGTTCATGTTCATGCGCCACTGGCAGGCGGCAAGGTCTTATGAGTAATAACCATGCCAATAGACAAGTAAATATATTCAAGTTCTGTCAATTTCCGTGGATCAGACAACCACAAAAGAGTAACAATTATCCAAAAAGACCAACATTTTTGTCCAGAAAGCGATCCACACAATCCTGACACATCTTGCATTGCAAAGATGTTAACTCTTCTTCTTTGCCTTTTACGGCTTTCACCTCTTCTTCCTTCTTTTCAAGCTGCTGTCTCAAGGATTTTTCCTCAGCCATTAAATTTGCCATCTTCTGCTCCAAGCTAATCCGGTAATTCCGTGCTTTAAGACCAAAGTAAGCATAAGCAATTGTCTCCAAATGCTTCCAAGCAAATTCCACGTCGCAACCACTCCGTTTAGCATCCATGATTGCGTCTCTCCACTTCAACATTGTGTCTTCCGTAACTTGTTTAAGCGAAAGATCACCCATCTCTTTGATTGCAGCACAAAAGAAAACATAAATGTTCTCAACAACAGGAGGACTAAAATGGCTGTTTTTTGTAACATCACCATGAGCATCCATAATAGCGTTAGCAGTCGAGACCAGGGACATTGGGAAACTGTAGTCCCCAACTCTTTGGCGCTCCCCATCTAAATCTTTAAAGCTGGAGAAGCTCACTTTGCTCCTACTGTTCTTCTCAAGCTTCGCAATAAATTCAGTCACAAGAACATCAGAATATAGTGTTTCAACTGCAAGGAACATTTGACTGATTCCATAATCTCCCAGCTGCAACAATAGGTTGGAGAAAAGATCAACACGCTAAACAAGGAAAAAGAACAGCTTATCCATGTATATAACATCCACTCATAAAGAAAAAAGCGGTGATGAAACACATGCAATAAACATACCCAGTCACAGTCACCGGCAGATCCTTGGTTATTTGAGTTCAGTGACTGTGCTCCATCCTGCAATCCATGGTATATATATAAATATACAAACTCACAATTAGTCAAAGCCTGAAAACACTTTTTGGTAGTAACACGAGAAAGTACTACCAAAGAAAGAGATGGAGGCTAAAGGGCATGTTTGATTGAGCTCAGTACGTACCTACCATGAGAATTTGACACAAAGAAAGAGCATGATTTTCCATATATACTATAGACCTTAAAAATGAAAGGAAATAAAAGGGTAGGAGAAAATACCTGGAAAAAATCAGGAGACGGCGGTAGAAAATCATTGAATGGCCTTTCCGTTTTATTTGGCTTAGAAACCGGGAACTGAAACTCTGTTTTCTTAAGCCTATCCAATCCGGGCAAGATATATTCAATTCCACCGAACATGGTCTTTACTTTCTCGAATACAGCTAACTCTTCCTTCATTTGGTCAAGTTTATTCAACTTGGAGATGATTTCCTCAAAATTTCCATACTCGGATTTGATTCGCTCGAGTCTTGACGTCACACTCCATCTTGTCAATTCCCCCGCAGTTGGACGCTATTGTCATCAGCCTGTTAAACGCGTCCTTGATTTAGCAGTAGCACATGGAAATTGAAAAGCAGAAATTAATTAGAAAATAGTTAAACCAAAGTAACTGGAAAGGAATAGAGAGTTGTTTTACCCTTTTGCGTTTCCGGTCAGCCCTATCCCTTTCATTTTTCCTTTTTTTTTGTTCTTCTGGTGTTTGCGTTGGTTTACGACGCCTTCGTTTTTTTTCCAGTGGAAGCTTCAAATTCTCCTGCTTCTGCATCTGACTGCGGATATTCAGCAGGTGCTCAAACTCGGCCTGATCATTACTACTTTGTCCTGTTCCTGGCAATTCTTTCTCTGTCAAATATGATCTCCGCCATGGAACCATCCATTTGGTTTGCAAGTTTTTAGATCATCTAGAGACGCTCAAATCCGAATTTATAGTGAATACTCTACATATTTCAAACAAGACCGCGAGTCAGTTTTTTTTTATTTGTTAGAAATTTCACATGGGAACTTATAAACTAATAATTCATAGTCAAAGTATAGTTTTGGCTTCCAAAATTGTTGAGAATAAACGAATCAAACAAACAAAAACAAAAAAAACAAAAGTTTGGAAGTGTTGTTGATTCCACCGCTTAGCAGCAAGTGGGCTCCAATTTTACTCCAAAGTCCAACCACATTCATGCGTCTTCTACTTTTTATTTTCCTGAAAAAAATGGATAGAATTCATACCGAGTAACAAACAACGGTACTCCCAAGTCCAACTCCGTCTTAAGTTAGTGAACTCGTCGGTGGGATTTTAGGTATCCCCGTCTAAACCTGGCATGGATATAAAAATATATAATATATAATTTTATATTTTATATTATATTAATAAAATTATTATGTAATATTTCAATTTGAAATATTAATTTAATAAAAATATTATATTTATATATAATTGAAATATAATTTACATTAAAAAATAATATTTTATAAATATCATATTAAATTAAAATTATTAATTTAATTTCAATCAAATCATAATTACAATTACGTATATAAATTGGATTAAATATAAAAAATAATGTTTTAATATTATATCAAAATAAAATATATATTTTATAAAATCAATCAAAACGAAAACGATCAAAAATTTATTCGATTCGACTTCTTGTAATCGCTACGCGGCAAGGACATTATCAGCGTGGGCAAACTCAAGCCAGACCTCCATCTGTTACTAACATTTTTTATTTTTTAAAAAATAAAATATTTTAATTTTAATAAGTAGATTTATACCTATAATATTCTTAATTTAACTAATATGATTCTTTTATTTTTAATAATTGAAATATATTTTTTTCATGAAATAAGCACGTATTTTTAAACCAAACTTTGAGCATAAAGTCTACTATCCTAAACAAAACATAAGCAATATTACCAGTTGTAATGTATGAGTAATATTTTCCTTTCCCTTTCATTACGCGCGCAACTTTTATTTTCTTCCGCGAGGCTACTAATATCTTCCTGTGATTTACATTTTTTTTTTATGTCATGAAGTCAAGCACTTTCTAAGCTTTCAATTTTGTTAAATGGACCACTCCCGTGAGGGGTGGCATGGCACAGAGTCAACAACGACGGCTCTGTCTGGGGACATCCAGGTCTGCCAGCATCAGGAGCTTTAATCCGAATGGTATATGATAATTCGACTATTTATATTACGTAAAATATTAATAATTTATATATTAATATTATATTATATATTATAATTTATATTAATATAAAAAGATGAAATATATATTTTTAATTTTATTATATTTAATTATAATTTTAAATTATATCACAATATTAAATTATCAAATATAATCCACACACATAATGGCATTTGGATCGCTGGATTGGCAAGAAGAATTGGGCATGGCACTATGCTAGCGTCTCGGAGGAACTTTGGGCCTTCCAAAAAGATGCAGTATCCAACTGACGTAATGTGATCAACAACAAAGCAGAGAATTACAAATCAAACAAGGAATTCCAGAATTTCCAAACTGATTACACAGGGCATAGAACATTAATCAAGTATTTTTGTCATCCATCTTTTTCATACTGATCACTGAACACTGATATAATTACTTAGCGCTTATGTTTTGCTGGGCGTGATTCTCCTGTTGCTGCTGATAGTTGAGAGGCCTCCTTAATGTGTGGTTCCGGGCGATGAATGGCATAATAGGCCCAATCACAACTCAGCGGTACTCCAATCTCTTAAAAAAATCGAAAAAATTAAAAATTGATTAAAAATTATAATATTCAATTTAGTTTAGATTATTTTTTTTGTTCGATTTGGATTAAGTTTAAATATTAAATATATACATTAAGTTTAAATTGAATATTAGGGAGGTGAAAAAAATCAAACTAAAACAAATTATATATATTTTAATTTTTTATCAAATAAAAATAATAATTTTATATCAAAATTTACTTAAATATATGAGTAAATAGCATCCTTGTTCTCTAATGGGTTAAATTTTATTTTGGTCTTTAAATTTTAAAAAATTTTAATCAAATCCTCATTTACCCAAATATGTACCAATGTAATCTTTATGTCTATTAACCATCTAAATTGACAACAAATGCTAGCTAGCATCATGTGATGATATCAGCTACCATCTCATATGACAAATGATGGATCAAAATAGAATTTTTTCAAAGTTTAAAGACCAAAATAGAATTCTCACTTAATTTTAAGTTTTAAATATTTATTTTCTATTTAAAACAAAATTTTATCTAATAAGTTATATTATTACAAAAAATATAATTTTAAATTGTACTTGCATATTTTTGCATTATATTTTTATTAGTAAAAATGTTTCAATCCTAAGCTAACACTAAAAACCCTAGAACCATCCAATTCTTAGTTGAAAGCTAAAAAAAAAAAAATTTTAAGTTCACTTCCATGGTTGTTTTAAAGAACCCAATTCATTAAACAAACTTAAAATCATAGAAATGAAAGATATGAAGCCCGTGAAAGCAAGCTTCCCTAGCTCCAACGAAACACGAACCACAAAAATGTATTGAAACTAGTTAAGGAAAAAGCAAATCATACTAAAACTAAGCATAATTAAAATGGTTTTAAAGCCAAATGATGATTAAAAAAAAAAAAAGGTATAGAATACAAGGAGAAGAAGAATCTTACCAATGGAAGAATTTCAAAAGGAAGAGATGGGGAATCAAAACATAAATTTTGGGAAGATGGAAAATCTGTGGAAAGGAAAAATGGAAGAAAGGAAGACAAAGGAATTTTTCCTTACTTTTTGTGTCCTATGGGAGGTTTTATTCCACAATTGCTTTTCTTCTCTTTTGTTGACAAGAGTATATCACTTATTATTTATTGTAATAAAATTAATAATAATTATTATTGTAAAATTAATAAAAAAATTGGGATAATATCCCATTTGGCTCTTGAATTATTGCATTCTTTTTAATGTGGTACCTAAACAACAAAAATTTCTAATTGGGTATTTAAACTATATTTTCGTGCATTAAATTGCCCCAACCCTTTACACCATTAATAAAAAAATGTTGATTTGGTATGAATATTTAATAAGATGCTGACACATATAAAAAAAATTCAATAATGTCACATCAACATAAAAAGAAAATTTTTAAAAAATTCTTAAAAAATTCTAAAAAATATTGAAAAGTTCTAAAAAAAATTCAAAGAATTTTTGAATTAAAAAATTATAAAAAATTTAATAAAATTTCCAAAAAATTAAAAATTAATAAATTAATAAATATTCCAAATTTAAAATTAAGTTAAAATAATTTATTTTTTAAATTATTAGATTCTTTTATTTTTTAAAAAATATATTTTATAAAATACGTTTTATAAAAAAGAAAAAATAAAAATGTTTTAAATTATATTTTTATTTTTTATGAATATAAAGTTTTTATATTTTTTAATAGATTAATAAATCTATGTTCAAAATGATCTAAAAATTTTTACATAATATTTGAAAATGATATAGAGTTTTTATTTAATTTCTTAAACTGATACAAAAATTTTTACTCAATTTTTTAAAATGATATGTAATTTTAACAAATTATTTTGAAAATTTCAACTTAATTTTAATTTTTAAAAAATATATTTTTTATTTAAAATATTATTTTATTGATAAATGATATCATAATATAAATTAAAAATATTTTAAATTATAATATTTTATTAATTATATTTGAAATATATAAAAATAAATTTTTTCATAAATTATTTTTATCTTTCTTTTATTTATTTTTTATAAAATATATTTGATAAAAGAAAATAAAAGATATTTAATATTTAAAAAATATATTTTAAGGATAGTTTTTAAATTTTTTTATTATGATTTATGAGTAAAATAATATTTTGAATAGAAAATAATTTTTTATTTTTAAAATGATATTGAATTTTTAACTTATTTTAATTAAAAAAAACTATTTTCTATTAAAAACAAAAATATAACTAATAAATTATATTACAAATAAAAAATTTTAAAACATAATTTTAAAATTAACATTTTATAAAATATATATGAAATATATAAAAATTTGAGATAGTTTTGTCTTTGGTTTCTAAATTTTGAGAGAATTCTATTTTAGTTTCTTATTTGCCATGTTAGATGCTAGCTTATAATAATGAGATGCTAACTAGCATTTATCGTTAATTTAGACAGTTCCATAGACAGAGAAACTAAATTGGTAAACATTTGAGAAATTTAGGACTCAATTAAAATTCTTTAAAATTTAAGGATCAAAATAGAATTCACCTAAAGTTTAGGGACCTCGGGTGCTATTTACTCTAAATATATTAAAATTTTATATTAAAATAATATATAAAAATAAAAAAATAAAATTTAAAAATCAATAAACCAAATCAAATCAATAAAATTCAATTCGGTTTCGATCAAATAAAGATTCGATTCAAATTCATGTTGAATTTTAAAATTTCATAACATTATACAATATTAAAAGAAATCAAACCAAATTCGATTCGATCCCAATCGTATCATCCATACACACCACTCATTCTACAAATATATATACATATATACATATATACATACATACATATATATATATATCAACATGAACCAAAATTCAAACTACTACAAACCCTAGAAAATTAAAAAACTAATGGAACTAAACATCATCAATATTGGTAGAACCCAAAACAAAGAAAAAAGATATACATCTAACTATTTGCAAAATAGAACAGAACATGACATTCAAATCGTAGTTCATTTCATCCACTTCATTGTTCTAGACTAAGTGAAGTGATGCAAATCATCATGTCATGATGACAAGAATCATAAAATTAAGAAACCTAAAGTTCTACATATAAGCAAGTACTGGATCAAACTATCATGCTTCTGATGTAGCCTAGAATATCCAATGATAAGTATATAGAAAACACTCTTGGTTCAAATCACACCTTTCTCTGTAGATACCTAATTTTATCTAGAATAATTTAACACTATTAATTCATATTAGATTTTGTGTAATGGTCCAAGGTCTTCATTTTTTTAGCTTATGTGATTCATGTTATGAAGCCTTAAAACGGAGACCAAAATTGATATCTTAAAGTGGCCCATTTTTTGATCCAATTAAAAGCCAAGATGATTGTCAAATGAAGTTCGAAATAAATAGAAAAGGAAAAGCTAATTAGGGGCACATTTACAACCTGTGAGCGAGCCCGATTGCAAGTTTGATTCATGACCCATTATGGTCTACTAGAAGATCGTTTGCAACCCAATAAAAAGGCCTAAACAAAAT